CGTGACATCCAATTGAGAGCTAAACGTCACTATACTATGGGAGACGAGAATTTGGTATTGACAGTTCAGTGGCATCTCTTCGTTTCCTTGGAGACGCCGATCCTAGATACGATTCGTTTACGAGCGTGGGCACCGCGCCCAGTCTCGGAACCGAATGAAACAAGCCCTGCTAGATTGTAAACGATGAGTAGGATTTCCTATGAAGGTCGCTGTGACGCGTCGAAGTGCCGTGAAAAGCTGTAAGGAAGGCGGTAAATATAGACTCGGACTAGTACGTTTGGCATCAGTGCACCATGTGCTCGGTATCTGTCAATCCTAAAGTCCCATCTCCCGCAGTAGTGACGTTCAACCTTAGATGACACCGCAACAGCTGAATTACGTCAACTGAACCTACATTTAAATTCAAGTACAATTACCTGTCAGAGCTGGGTCTTGGTTCTCCAGAGGGCGATTTGTATTGAGTATCTAGATCAGTTTCAACTATTTCTATTTTGCATATAGACCTACGCATTTTTCTGCACTTCATTCTACACATTCAAGTTACGGCAACTCGAATCTTCATTTTGTCTGAGCAGGAACATGCATATGAAGTAAAATCCTACTCACGAGCTCATTTGTTCAGATGCCCTTGCTCTTTGGGTGCATTCAGTTGAGAAGTGGCTTCAACAGATAGTGGGGCATTCAAAAATTGTCAGCAATTTCAAAGAAGTGTTCTTTCAACAATTGTCATACCATTTTCATCCATAGTTTTAGAACAAGAACTCTTAAAGATGATTTATTAAGTTTGTTTTTAACCTTCCCTAGGCCAAAAATAGGTATTTTAACAATAATTGATGCATGGGCAGTAGGACCATACTCATAATATGGACTTACATGATTCCATGAAACTTTTGTCCAAAGTCTTTCATACAATAGCATATTTCCACTGCAGAGAAGACAAGTGACAGTTTTGATTTTACATCTTCTAACTTACATTGATTATTGCTAGGATGATGAGAGTTAAAATAGGCTGAGGCTTTAAGGAAAATACGGCCTGTAAGGAAAGGGTAAATATTGCAAAAAACCTATTACAAGATTCAATGCAGCACAAACACTGCACCTAATGAAATTGGAAATTCAATCATCAGAAAATAAAACTTGAAATAAAATACAAATATGGGAATGCTATCTTGTGTAAAGTATTTTCATGAAAATAATATTTACAATAAGATATCTCTAAGCACTACTCACATTATCAATTGAGTGTGGCACAATATTACAATTACTAATTAACATTTGGGTGTATGCTGAAGAGGTGGCATGGATGTATTTAAATGGTAAAATACTGAGTGTCATCTTCTTAATTTACCAGATTTATTCAAAGAACCTGCTTGGCAGTCATCGCTATATATGGCTAGTGAAGACAGTACACATTGTCTCCCAACTTCCACATGTAATGAGACTGATGAAAGCCAGCTCTGAAATAATCTAGAAAGCTGATATAGTAAAATTTTACCCTCTTTTCTGCATATTATTGTAGTTATATTATCAATTGATAATATCTTAATATTACACTTAATTTATATTTAATGCAAAAATGATGAGACTTCCTTTGAAATATTGCAGGAAAATTGTGTTTTTATGAAACACAGCTTACCCACACCCATTTGCAAATTAAGATTTTTTTCTGTGCAATAACATTCTAGCCGTGAATATACTATGAGGAAATTTAATTTCTGTCTCCCAAAGAATCTGAAGTACCATGGCTTTTGTAAATACTCAATTGAAACAGCTCTGAGGGATCCATTGAATAAATGAGTAATTTTTAATTTTAATGGTTTCTATTAAGTAAATCAACACTACTTCTGAAACTAATTTTTACATATATATTCCCATGATACTTTTGGTATTGAATCTGACTCAGATCATTAGCCCAAAGGCAAGATTGGATCTACAAAGCACTGCTAAAATAGCCTAGGGGAAGTTAATGTACAAATAATTTTAATACATACAAGGTAAACTTGTCATGCTCTCCAGACCATTTGTTGTACCTTATAGTGGAACAGCCAAAACACTCATGTTCGTGTTTCCAATAAGATGCAGTGTCATTCTACAATGTAATATAGATACAACATAATCCACAGGATGTATAAAGCCTGTGTAAGTTGCAACTTGCATGTGACAATTTCAGCAACTGGTTTCCGGAATGAATTGCTGCATTTGGCAACATGCCTGGATAACCCATGTAGTTGCTGCAATGTCTTTTGGCGATCGCTTGCCTGTGTAAAGCTAGCATAAATCCTGTTATGGCATGAATATCATTTACTCAGCACCACACACATCAGGAACTTTGGTTGCCCAGAGAAAACTTTATTCACTATACTTTTTGGGCTAGCTAAAAACTGTTTTTGTTTTGGCACAAGGAACATTGTAAAGCAACAACCATCTTACACTATAATAATACTCCCATTAGGACACTTAAACATCATACAACAAAAAAGTGCTTTAACTCATTTTTAATAAAAAAAAATAATTGGAGGAAGCAACAAAATTAATTTTTAAGGAAAGTATTACATTCCTAAATTATACTTTTGTATATATATATATATTTATAAAACCTTGTATATAAAATTCACAGCCAATAAGATCAAGCATTCAGACATCTTTTTTCAAGTTCTCTATGATGCTTGCAAGGAGAGATGAACAGCAACACCTGAAACACCAACAACAAATATCAGTTTACAATCCATTGACAAAATATTAAAGATGCTACTCTATCAAATTTTGCTCTTTTGTAATAAAATGGGGGGGGCCCTGAAAAGGGCCGTTTTAAGGACAGGGAAGGGATGGATAAGGAGATGGAATGATCACAGGTCACAAATTTTAAATTAAGTTCAGCTTTGTAAATACATGACAATTTTAGGAAAGGGGAAGGAAGAGGACGTTGGGAAGGACATTTCATATTTGAGGAGTGGATTAGGAACATTTAGGAAAGGCAAGAGATGCAACTCACAGGTGATTTAGAAAATCTGGTTCTGAAACCATACAACTGAACTTCGAATGAAACTTAAGAGGAAGGTAATACAGAAGTCTTACAGTTTCTGATCTTTGGTAATAGACGAGACCTTTTTAAAAGATTTACAATATAAAACAAGAGGAAATACAAAAAGATAGGTATGAGATCCAGAAAACTATAAAATAAGCAAATAACTTGAGTTAATGCTACTGAAATAATATCCACAATTCTTAATAGGCCTAGAATATTGCACTCTGCAACTTTTCTCTCATTTTTTTGTGGAAGACACAAATGTTCCATTTTCCAATTTGTCTCTCCAAGATTTTTCATTTTTCTGTAACTGTTCAGTTCATGAAACTGGCACTGCCGATTTGGGCTGGCAAACCCTCATACACTTGTTAATTGATGATGTTGAAAGACAATAAGCCACTTTTGAATGATTTGTACTGGGCTGTGTCTACTTCACATTAATAAAATGAAGTTAGTGTTTCACTTGGTCCTAGAAGATGGCTGAAAGTTAAATTGCAAACTTTAATTGAACTGGATGCTGATTGATGGTACTTAAAGAATGAGATGATGTGAAGACACACACACAACACGCGATGGAATGTAGAAAAGTCTTTAGTCTGAAGACAATCTTGAAAGCATGACTCTGCTCACTGCAACACTGAATCTTGACACCATGAACAAGTCTTAATCTTCACAGTAATACTTTCAAATGTCATTATCACAAAACCAGTCATTAAGTCCAATTCCTAACAATACCACCATCCTTTCACATGCACAAACATAAGACCTGTCCTGATTGTAATTCCTCATTTCACCATTATCTCCATCTTGTAATTCCAATCATCCACCTTATCAATGAAGATTTCAAATGTGCTTTTCTTCTGGAGGCAGTCTACAAGCATTTGTACCTTAATATCACATGGAAGGAACTGTATAACCTGAGTATCTCAACAACACGTTTTCCCTTTCAATCAGACCAATATGGTTGATACAAGACAATACCTCAATCATTTGTCAATTAAAGTTTACAAACAACTTTCTTTATCATCACAGACAATTTAAAAAATAGTTATGTCTTCTACACATATTTACATTTTATAAGGTATAAAACCAATGACCTATGACTAGATACTCTTACAAAAATCTTTGTTCAGTCTCTCAAGGTCATTTTGGACTAAAATGAAACACTAACTTAATATGGGTTAAAACAAGTGTGTTTACAATACATAGCAATATGATATGCAAAAAAAAAAATAAAATCACCTAACACAACTTCTACAGATGAATTTTTTTAAGTAGTGATTAACTCTGATTTAGTTTTGATCGTGATCCAAGTCAGACTTGATCAATGCATCTGAATTAAACCACATACTCTACACTTATAGACTATAGAAACTTCATAACAAATATGAATAATACAACTGAGCCATTCCAAGTTTACACAACCAAATTTCTTTGGCTGCAAGTGGACCTTTGTCCTTCCTTGGAATGACTAGGTTCTATTACAGAAGAAATAGATCATCTAATACGGCATTATACGGTAACTATGATTTTGAATTTTGAGATTTAAACACAAAACCCACACTTGATTTGCTTACAACTAAGTTTTAAGATGAAATTGCCCTATGCACTACATTGTAATCTTTGTAATGTTTATTGCTGCAGAGAAACTACAAAGATCACATCATTTGTATTTCAAAAGTATTCGTGAGCAAAACAATGACAACATTTAAGGAAAATTGTAAAAACTTTTGGAATCTGCCAATTTTACATTGGAGTAATAGGACCCAACATATCTCCATTTTTTTCTGCAGCTCTTCTCTAGTTTCATGAATCAAAGACAACACATTGTCATGCTCACTTATTGTGCAGTAAACCTCCCCACATAAAAAGGAAACTACAAAACATCCATTTCAGCTTCCAAGATACATAATCTAAAATACAGTTCAGTTCTTCCACACATTAAGTCCACATTGAAGCTTTCACAAAGAATAAATCAAGCAGAAACATTCAGTAGTACTTTCAGCTGGTTGGAAATATCCCTACTCTTATCTGCTCTATCAGATGGGATCATTGAAAACGACCCACTGTTTGTTGTGTAAATTCGTGACGCCCAATGCATGGGCGGCTTGGGAAGAGCAGCTGGCGGGGGCGGTTCACTGAACTTGGCACCAGCATAGAAAACTCCAAGAGTTGGGGAAGTTCTTGGGCTCCCTTCCTTGGACGGACTTGTTGGTTTCAATTTTGGGGAACCTAGTCTTCGAGTAAAATTGTTGGGACATTGAGGACTAGAAACGTCCGACGACTTCGTCCTCTTATCTTGACAATTAGCGTTTTCTTGAACCTCCAACTTTCGATGTTTACTTCTCGCAGGCGTCGTTATACTACTGAAATAACATGTACTCTTTATAGTCTTTGTCTTCACTTGGTTCTTGGAACGATTGTTGTTGTAGCTTGGGCTGTTCCGCTCCATTTTCATCGAGTCTTTTAATAATGTGGATCAAACTAGAAGCTTCACGCACTGGGATAATTGCCAATCAATTGGCATTACACGTACACAAGTATAATGCGCAGTAACACTTCAGCTTCAACCTTCAGTCATTTATATTCTGGCAGCTCCAAATCAAAAGTGTCCGTATATCACAACCTTAGCACCACAACACACATTAAGTATGCAGTTTCAGAATTGTTCATACGCAATAAAGTTCGAAACAGCTGTAAACAGCTAGTAAATTTCCAATGAACAAAATGGCGTCCTTTGCCCAGATTCTCAATATCTTAACAGAAGATTCTATATCTCAAAACATTCACAACTAATAATAATTTGCTCACTGTCAACATCACCGAAGTTCATAAGCAGCAGTATTATAAATACTGGAACTTCGGAAATTGCGCAGAGCCAGATTCAATGTACAGAAAATTTCCACCGCAAGCTGCACTACGACTACCATTCTCGCCTCCTCCGAAACACTCAACAAAACACCACAGCCAGCACCACCTGCGTCACACAGCCTTGACCACAACGCTCTAGCAATCCTCCAATAACACGAGAGAAAGCAGTCACGTGGTATATATTGACGAATCATTTCGAGAATAGTCCGGGCAATTTCGGCAAGTTCCGTGAAGGTGTTAGAGAAAGTGTCTGCATAAAGCAGACTTTAATATAAACGTGAATAATTATTGTAGAATGTCTCGTTTATTTTGCTCTCTGATTTTTTAACCCCATGCGTCATATGTGTTTTAGATAATTAATTTCGAAATTCTGTCATTGTTGCATGCAATTAGCACACCAAAAGATGTGATTGGCTGCGCCGTACTGTGTAGGCGTGGTTTATGTCAGTTTGCCTCAAGAGGTCGTTTACGATACCTCTGTGGTGGCTATGGCTGAGTCCTGCAGGTTTTGAGAGAGTGAAAAGTGAGTGGCATTTGTGAAAAAAACAACTTTTACATTTTAGGATGTTGCTGGTCAATATCGGAGAAAAACTTTGACCGAAGTCCTTAAAAAAGAAGATTTACACTAATCACTACTTTCCCCGTCATCCATTTCAACTTCAAGTCTCATGCATAGTTGTATGTTTATTATTGTTTTCTTTTTGATATCAATAATATTAGATAGTAGCTTGGAATTTGGCACTTTGTGTTTTTCAGTATTATGCCGTGACGTGTAGTGACTTTCGAGTCGACGCGACTCCCCGGAGAGGCACCGTGGGTGAAGAATATTTCGCGGATCGATATGGGCCACCGTCCTTGATGACAGTAGAGAAGCTTTGTGCTTTTGAATGTTGATATGCTTCTTCTTCAGTAAAGTTAAAAAATGATATTCATGGCGTGCTTGGAGATTATTTTCGTTTGAGGAGAAACTTTTGTTGTGTTATGAATGGTGTTAGGACGTAGCATGAGCGTTGACATTCAGATATTCTCAGTTCGAACTTTTTAATGTAAATTGACTTTTTGCTTACGTACTGCCCCCATGTTACGTGATTTCACAATTGGTTTATTTCTTTTGTGACTAACTTGTGCTTAAGGTTGGTCATTTTATGTGTGCTTGCTCATATTTCTTAGGTAACTTTTTCACTGTTGTCATTCGCCTGTAGTAGAAGTGTTATATTTTATGTGAGTGTTAAGTTGTATGTACTTTTGCGACATTTGTTGTTTAATTATTATATGATCAAATCGTAGATTTTTTTCGTATAACGTACCATTGATTAGATCTCTCAATGTGTTTTAATATTAGGCATTTTTAACCTTCTAATGAACGCATGTTTCGTATGTGATCGACGATCAAAGTATTCCTAATGAATTCCCCCCCCCCCCCTTTTTTTACTGTGGACACATGTTGAATTATATTTTATTAATATCACTAGGAAAAATTGGGTCTTGCTAGTGCATTAAAAAACTTGCATTTTTTGGGTTCATATTTGTGTAAAGAATTATTTTTTAAAGAATATTTTGTAAGTGATGGCTGTTACATTTTTATATTAAGGAAAATGTGAAAAAATTTGTATCAACAGTTCAAAAATATTAATAAGGCTAGTGCCTATAACAGGAGAAATGCTGCTGGACAAAACCACATCATGTTTTTCTAAAAAATAGCAAGCCCAATGTTCAAGAACAACAAATGAAGTACTCTTGTATAATACTGCAATACTTTAAATATTTTAACAAAACAGTCGTCACGAATATTGCTAGAACATAATTATATTTGTACAGTAAACAGATTTTTACATGCAATAATATAAAAAAAATGTAACTTCCCCATAAAACATCGAAATAAAAGTATTTAATGTTCATTGGCCTCTTTCTTGAAGCTTTACTGTCTCATGTCAGATGGGCTGCAAGTGGTGATGTGCTGGGTATGATAATGCAATTGATACGCACAGTACGAACGTAGGCAGAAGTTCCTGTATATCTAATGAAACCATGGAAATCTCTCACAAGACTGGAGGCTGTATAGTTTTCTTTCAGTTTTTGCATGCATTGGAGATTAGTAATTTAGATTAAAGGAACTAAGGATTTTGAAGAGTATTAATAAACTTCATGTATCGGAGGAATGAGTTCATAGAACTAATATGCAAATCATTTGTAATTCCATTATACTTCACATTGACTTACCTATAATACTTCATACTATGTTATTGTTATATTTCACAAATAACATTATGTTGATTGTTACAATGAAATGTTTTATTTTTATCTTTAGCAATGAACTCCACTAGTCACAACTCTTCGATGAGGAATGCAAACCAATTTAATCGTCATATGACATCCAGCCATTCAGGCAGAACAAATCATCGGTCTCGATGGCCTGTAAATCGTGTTTCATATCCTAAGGATTTCAGACAGTATGATCAGTGTTTTAGTCCTAGGTAAGTAAATATATGTTAATAATAACTGTTAAATGTTTGTGTCTTTTTGATTAGCATCTGATAACTTCTTTCAAACGAAATTTATTTTGTATTCTTTACTGTTACTATTTCAGTGCAATCACATGTTACTTAGTCTTGCTTTTTACACTTACCTTCTATTTAACTTCAATTAACTGCAGGTTACATTGCTTTTTTAAATTTGGTTTTTGGATTTTATGTCATTTGTTTACATTGTGCTTTAATTGGTTGATCACTGTTTTAACCTAAATGAAGGTGGTTTTAAAAGTGGACTTCTGATGTGTCCAGATGTAGTTTATTTTTATTTAGAAAAAATATATCCCTTGGCCAATTTGCTCCTTTTGTATTTTATTGTTTCATATGATCTTTATATAATGTTCACTTAATATTTTCTGAAAGCCAGTAGATGGAGTTCTTGTCAATACTGTTGTACTATTGACAAGAGTTGAGTATTTGATTGAGTTTTTAAGGTAGAAATTGGACGTATTAACTGTCCTGCAATTGTGCAGCCCAGTGATGGAGAATTAAGCTGATTACAATAACCTTGTTTTGTTTTTTTAAACCAAACACTGTCAGCCTTTATAATAAATATATTTGGAATTTCTTGTAGGTGATTTATTGTTCATAGTTTTACTTGTAAATAGTGTATTTGTGCTAAAAGAATTTTTAAAAAATTCTGATGGCAATATCATTCATGTTTTGTCATTATAAGTAAGTATCCATTATACTGCTGATAATGATTGCTGAAATGATTTTGTCATTAAAAAAGAAGTTAAACATAATGGGTACAGTAGTCTGTTGTGTATTATTGTACTGTTCAGTAAAAGAAAGGCTTTTGGAGAACTTGTAGAACCTTTATATTTCGTTCTCATTTCTATTACGAAGCAAGAGAATGTTATGTAATCCTGCTGGAAAAAGTGCTGAATTTTTGACAAAAATGTTTTGTGGGTTCGTTGTACCGAAAAAACAGATTTTTCGCGCCCAAGTCAGTTGTCAGCTCCTTCCTCGAATATGTTGTGTATCAGAAACTACGTTTTGGGGGCCCTTGATACCAAAAAAAGGTTTTTTTTTCTTGTTTGTCTGTGAACAACAGCGCCTGAACTATACCGGATTTTCACCAAAATTAATTTACCCTGATGATTCTGACTTCATGTTTTGGCTCCTTGAATTTTAAACATTTGTATTTTTTGGGGGTATTTCATAAGAACATCCGTACATTTTCCAAGTGATCCGCATTTTTTGTTCAAAGAGAGCAAAGCAAGCTTATGAAAACTGTGCATGTCTGATTTTAATTGAAATCTGAATTTTCAAAAATTTGCAGAACTCCCAAAATTTTGCAATGACCTCCATGAACTATATAATTAAAGATAGATATTTTTATAATGAATTATGTTTTTTTAAACTAGAACTTCGAATAATGTCGGGTATAATTTTCTGAAAATATGAGTAATTTTCACGCAATTTTGAGTGAAATAGTTACCAATTTTTAGTTTAAATACGTGAACTATATTTTGTCGAAATTGTTTCAAAAAGTCACTGAAATTTTTTGTTGAAATAGCTTAAAGTTTGCTTAATCTATTGTACTGACATATCTCATTAAGATGTTTGGATGGAAGTTTGAATATTGCAAAAGTTTAGTTTTTTAGTTTCTCTTTTTACTTCGTTGAATATAGTAAAGAAAAAGTAACGTAATGTTACGAGTTAAATCGGCGGTTTTTCGGCAGTAGAACTAGTTTGGTTGGGGCTTGGTAACGAAATTGTGGATAAATATTTTTCTTGCATGTAATACGATCCTCTAATACGTTTCAGAATCTACGTTTTGATATCGAAAAATTGATTGACGGCAAGCTGTTGGTCTATGTGTCTGACCGTTTGTCCATTATAGATCAACGCTAGGGCTTAAAACGTTGTGACAATTATCTCCAAAATTGGCATTCCCTGATCAACCTAAATGAACTCGAGATCCTGTGAGTTAGAAACGAATATTTTGTTTCTTAGGGGTACTTTACATGAAACTTCAACATTTTCAGAAATCTCTCAAAAATGGCCCCATTTTTTTTACTATTTTGCTCTCGGATAGCTTGAAGATCGCTTAAAGAAATGGTGCAAAATACATTTTGAATGAAAACTGAATATTTGAAAATTGCAGAAGTTCAAACATTATTCTCAGTTATCCTGCAACCACAGTAATAGAGATGTTTTTTCCCTAGACGAAATATGTTGTACAAAGACATCTTAAAAAATAAGATCACAAGTAATTTTTGGAAATATGAGTAGTTAATGTGTAATACGGACAGAACTTGCAGTGTTATAATTTTACGTAACCTTTACTAATCCGCGAAAGTACATGCTATTGTAGCACTGAATTACTTATTCTTATGTGTAGGTGTATACGGAGTAACATACGTAATATAGAGAATGTTAAGTAATGCTGCGACGAAAACGGCGGTTTTTCCTTAGAAAATCTTTCGTTTTGTGCTGCCTATTAGCTTAAAAGAGGATTTTTATCCCTCTGAGATGTAGTAAGTTATTTTCTTAGGCCGTAGACGCATGAGCGGTGCCTAGACGCGCGTTAACCACACGTTGGTGACGCCATGTACGTCGACGAACGAGCGTTATTTACCGCGTGATGTAATGCTGCAGCGAAAATGACAGTTTTTGACAGAAAAACTGGTCCCTGATACCATAAAATAATATTTTTCTTTCTTATAGGTTTCTTATATGTCGGAAATTTCTTTCTCTAATACGTACTACATTCAGAATCCCCAATTTGTAGTACCTTAGTGCGGAACAGGAGTTTCCCCTCCCCTCCAAAAGTGTGTTTGTTCTTCCATCTGTCTGTGAACAACACGAGCTGTTGAACTATTCACAGAATTTCTGGGGGTTCTTTACATGAAGCTCCCGGGGTATTCTCAAAATGTTCTAAAACATGGCTTGATCTTTACTTACCGAGCCCCTATTACAGTCGGCCTTGGCCTACGTTATGTCCGAAAATACCATTCTACTTCCAGGTTCACTGACTTTTACCCTTGTAATAATTTTATAACGATGTTATAAAAAATGGCGTATGCAATTCGTTTATAATGTTACATTTTTGTACTCATAAGAATAGCCTCATTCACTAGGTCGTTCATGCGGCTATTATTCGTGCAAAACATTATAAACTAATGACATATTATACTATTCTTCTATCACGCTGTGAAGTCATAATCCATGTTTTATGGGTACTTGATACCAAAAAATCGATTGTCGGCGAAATGTTTCGTCTATGTATTTCCGTCGTCCGTGGTCAATGCTAGCGCTTAAACCGTTCAGTCGATTTTCGTCCAAATGAATATTCCCCGATCGATCTGAATGAACTAGAGGCTTTGCGAGTTTGAAACGGATATTTTATATTTTTGGGATACTTTATACAAGGACTCAAAATTTCTTCAAAAACGGCTTCAAATTTTTCTTTAAATTCTTTAAAAAAGAATGAAATACACTTATACGTAAACTAGTTTTGTTAACACATACTTTCTCGCACGTGCTTTCAGGCAAAATTATGCGAAAAGTACTCAAAGTTTCGAAAAATTGTACCTAACCTTATATCAAAAAATCTTTAAAGAACTGATTTCATTAGGGGAACAAATCTGTCTTCATACCTGTAGAAAGACGGCGAAAAATGTGAATTTTTGAAATTTTCGAAAAAACCGTTTTTAACTAAAATGAGACCTGCACCACTCTCCACACTATCCAACAACAAACCCCACAGGGGGAGATCGAACTGACGTAGGTCGGGGAGATCTTTGGTGGAGCGTTGATACGACCACCCGGATCCTGAGTATCACGGTGAACTCACATCGTGAGCCTGAAGGGGCAGTGAGTAGGCGTAAGCTAAGCTCCAGTCTGGCGGCTCAACCCTCCATTCCACCAATTGGGCCCCTGGCGCGCCGACCTTTGGGCAGGATCGGGTGAAGGACGTTCTTCGGAATGATCTGGAATCCACACATAAGAGTCCGGCGGAAATTACTCCCCGTCAGGTTGCCCTGGTTTCGGCGTTACTCACGTCGTCAGCCTGAAAGTGCAGGCAGTGAGGAGACGGGAAGAGGGCCTCGAGCCACCCGGACCTTAGTTCGGGCGGCCCTCGTGTGCACTTGGATTCGCCGTGGCAGTGGCCCGGTACTCTGGGTATAGAGGGGGGACTTGGTGTCCCGGTGCATGTGAGTCGCGCGTTGTCATACGGCAAAATGGACTCCGGTACCAGTCCGGATAACTGGCAGCTCAGAGCTAGCTGGGCGGCTCGACCCAGGCATTGATTGGGAAGGTTGCCGTGAGGGTAAACTTCAGATACAGCTGCATCTGGATTTCGGCTCGCAAATTACCCATGTGTGGTTTGCGGGGGATGAGGATAAAAGCTAGAAGCTAACGGTGCCCACTGAGGGGCCTCGGCCCCCCGATAGAACATGAAAGTGTGGAGTTAGTAGGCCACACGAGACTATCCAACAACAAAATTTAATAAAAATCGATGGAGCCATTATTTTGAAAATGTGCCAGGGGTTTCACGTATTGTACCCGCGAAATTGGTTTCAAATTCCAGGGCCCGCGACATCCAGTCAGATCGATTAGGGAACATCAATTTGGGAGAAAATTGGCTGAACAGTTTAGCCGCTAGCGTTTACAGACTGATAGGAAGGCGGACTGACGGACAGGCACACGGACGTGCAGACGGATAGACAGACATGCCGGATAGATGGACTCACAGACGTTTTGCCGTCATTCGATTTTTCGGTATCAAGGACCCACAAAACCTGTATTCTGGCTACACGTGGTAGAGGATATTTTTTCTAAATTTAACAACTGTATTTATCGACTTTTTCGATACTAGGGCCCTGAAATAAGAGATTTTCTGTCGTAAATTCGCCCTTTTTTCAGCATTACATAACTTCCTCTCAACTACATAAACGGTCTTAGGTACGATTTTCACTGAGAATTCCCAGTGT